TACAAGCCACCGGAGCCAGGAGTAAGACACCTTTTGGGAGTAGAAATGCTTGTCTACTCCTTCTGTAATCCCAAAAGGGAGCGATGCAAATGTGTGAGCTTTTGCACAAGAAGAGGGATTTTCGTCTGATGTTGTCTACCCCCAGGAAGGCATCTGCTAAGTAATTTGTCCTAAAGTGAGGGGGATTTCTGGCATTTAAAAAAATTTTCGCCGAAGTCATCATTACAGTGGTTCGGGTTAGTGACCATAAAATGGCCAGAGGGAAGGGGCGGGAGGACAGGCCCCGCTCTAGCCGCGCCAGTCATATTTAATATTCTTCCCACAAGAGTAGCTCCTGTAAAATCAATAGACAGCCGCCAGCTGTGCTTAAACCTGCGATTTCAATTAAAACACTGCGCTCCGCTCCTTTCAGTTGGACCCGGATCCCCAATCTCTGGTGTTCCTGTCGCTCAGCCGCGGCGCAGCGTCGCTCGGTGGCGGATCCCAGAGGTCGCCGTCGGGGTCAGGCCCCGCAGAGCCGCAGACGCGCTGTGCCCGGGCGCCCAGCTCCGCAGCGTGGGAAGCACACAGGCGGCAGAGGGTCTTCGGGCCTAACTCTGCCGGTGTTTCCTCACTGAGGCTGGGTTTTGCGGCGCCCTCGAAGGCCAGATGGTGAAGAAGCAAAAGCATCCCTCTGGCTTTCCTCTGGGCCCTCTTAATAAAACAGGCCCGGCGCTGAGGCCTGGAGGTGAGAAGGCGCCCAGATGCGTCCAGACCGGGTGGCCTACGCGGTGGAGTTGAGGCAGCTCTCCGCAGGCCTGGCACCTCGTGGACATCCTCCCGCAGTGGCTGAGGTTGCTCCAGTAGGCTTGCTTAGGCCACGATTTTGAGTCTTCTAAGTGGAGCAGGCCCCTCAGTCTGGTTTGGGAGAGAGTGAGACTTCCAAAATGTCCTCATTGGCCTGGTCCCATTGCTATTGGAAACGCGTCGTCGTCGTCGCTTTGAGGGACAGGACTCCTTTAAAGTGGGCGGTTTCAGGAAACTTGACTTTCCATGAATGGCTCTACATCCCTGGAACATCTGCTCAGCCCCAATGCCCTGTGTCACCCTCCCTTCGGAGCGGTTCGATGTTTCCCCCAGTGAAAATCTGTAGGTAGGCAAAAAAATCATCCATCATTTTGCAGAACCCCATCAGCTCCCACTTGAAATTATGAAATTGAGGTTTTTACAGTTGCCTCCCTCCCTTTTTGTTTTACAACATTTTGGCCTAAAAAAAAAGATGCTGTGTGTGAGGATGAATGTGGAGGGCTCGGAGGTGACAAATGGAAATTTCAGCACTCTCTCTACTGTTCTCCACGTCTCCCTGGTCCTCTATTATTCTGCCTGAAATCATCTCGTTTACAGAAAATATTTGTTTGCACTATTAGTTGGTACTGGAGTTAATTACTCAATGTGTTAACGTGAAGTAATATGTATAAAAGTAGGATCAGTGTTTATTGTGTGGGTGAGCTGTTGAGCGGTGCTTGAATAAACTGCAATTAGGGTTAGATAGAGATTAATTAACATGTGAGTGGCAAGGTGTAAAATAGTTTCCAACCCTCCACTTCAATATAATCTGCGGGGCGAGGGAAAAAGAAGTTTGTGGACGCTAATTAAATACTTTCATAAAAGCCAGTGTATTCACCCAACATTTGGAAAGAGAGGCGCACTGGGGGCACCTTGTTTTTACTCAAATGTTTTCTTTCTGTGGAGGTAGCACTCCTTTGTGATGCCTGGGAGAGGGAGATGGCTTATACAGCCACAAAAAAGCCCCGCCAGGGATGGCGAGGCAGGTTCACGGGAAGCCCTTGGAAGCCTTTCAGCATGATGGAGCTTTCAAACCAGCAGATCTCTCGAGCTGCTGCGGAGATCCACAACTACTCAATTTGGAAAACGGGTTGGGACACAGTCCTGGTGGCCAACGGGATCCACAGGAAAGTCGGGATAGACATTTGGGTTCTGAGCCGCTGCGGGGGTATTGGTATTGTTCCCATGTTGGGGCGAGTTGGTGAGTTTCATGTTGGCTGGGAGGGGGCAGTCGTCTGTGCTCCTGTGTGCACGTTACCAGAGGGGCGGACGAGGGTGCGCTGGGTCTGCAATTCCGCCTCTCTGATCATCTCCTCTATTAAACGGGCTGCATGGAAATGTTCTCTTCCAGACCAGCCAACCTCTTGGGAGCTTGGAAATCTGGAAGGGGTGGGGGTGATGTTAAGGGAACAGAATTAGGATTGCTGAATTTAGGGGCAGTTTCAGAGCGTGGCAGAGTGAGCACATTAACCCACTGAGGTCCCCGTTCAGGCCATTTTTCCTCCAAGACCTCTCTTTGTTTCCCCTTCCTCGCTTTCAAGTCCACATTCCTTACCTGTCTTTTCCATTCCCTGTCTGAAACGGCAAGTCAGAGGAGCTGCGTGCGAATGGGTGAATACACAGGAGAAGAGATAAGTTCTGAAGGGGAAAAGAGAGTGATCTGTCCGAAGTTAAAACTAGAGCTTTCCTGTCCTGACCCTTGACAGTTTTCCAGGGATGTTTTGCTCCCCTGAGGGGCCTAGGACAGGATACTAGGTCCCTGAAGACCTGTTTCTGAGCCAAAAAAAAAAAATATATATATATATATGACAGCGACAGGGTTTGCCTCCACCAGCCCAGCACTTTCTCGTGTGTCTTTGGAGATGGAATTCACTACCAAACCCTCAACCCTGTTTGCTCATATTATACCCACCGTAATCCTCTTAAACTGTGGTTGCAGCTACAAAGCTCATGGTCTTGCAAAAGCCGGCTGGCAAGATATAATTGTCCCGCGAACAAAACCAGCCAAAAGTTTTCAAAAACCCCTGCATCCCCTCCTCCTCCTTTCCTAAACCTAATTCTCTCTCGCTCTCGCTCTCTTGCTAGCACCCCCCTCCATAAGAACCCTCAGCCTCGATCACTTTTGTTGTCGCCAAGAGCACCCGGCCTGTTGAAAGTGCTGGAGCGTCTTTGAGCAGTTTGTTGTGATACGCAGGTGGAATGGTCTGCAAACAGATGAATTCAGCCCCTCCAAACCAAGCGCAGAGCGCGCTGCTTTTGTGTGCCAGGCACAAAACGCTGAATTCCTCCGAACTTACTTGGGGCCTGTCTAGAAAAGGGCCTTTTCTTCCCTCAGCTTGTACCTCTGGCCACACTAAGTCTCTGCCTGCCCCCCTTCAGACCCCCTCCCTCTCCCCTCTGATAATCCTTCTCTTTATTTTAGAAAAACACAAAACCCGGTTCCACGCGGTGCTTTAGTGGCTAAAAGTGAAAGAGCTGCCTTGGCAGAATTCAGCTCTATGAATCACTTCGGAAAATTGGTTCGACTGAATGGCCTTAGGAGGAAAAACGTTTTAATAGGATCCAGGGGAGGTTCTGCTGTTTCAATCTGCTCCTTAAACAGGTGGAGATTGGACCTTCTCAATTATACAAACAGTAAGTACCCATCAGCGGGGAGAGCTGCCCTCCGAATCCTCCCCACACGCAGCCCTAAACCAGCCCGGCTTTGCCTCAGAAACTCGATCATAAATCAGCAATTCTGATCGATTAGGTTCTCAAATAGTCCTCCAGCTCTCGGTACAGTCTGCCCCAGCCCTAGGTGAGGAGCGGGCCACAGGCCTGGAGGTGCACCCGCCGGGAGCCAAAGCCCGGGGGATCCCGGCGCGCGGCCTTGCTCTTCCGGACGCTTCGGGGTTGTCCTCAGGCGGCTGGAGCTCTCTCCCGACCTCCGACAGCCAGCCAAGGCGAGCTCGTTGCTTTTGCATAAATTAATATTTCCCCATTAACAAGTTGCCCCCTCCAAACGCGGCGCCCGCGTCCATGCGCCACATCCTAATGAGGTAATTATCATTTGCGCGTGTTCGGGGCTGGCGCCGGCTCCGTGGGTAAATGGCAGTTTATTAGCACGATGCCCAGCTCGGCTGCAGAGGGCTAAGGCATACTTGGGCAACTAGACGGACACACGGGGGCCCTTTGGGGCGGCGCGTCCGGGACCCCCCGCCCTCCCCGCATCCCCCAAACCTGTAGGCCCCCAAAGTTGTGAATCACGCACGGAACTCTGCCTAGGTTTGGGTTTGGGCTCGCCCCCCCTTTCTTTCCACCGGCAAAACCATCACGATTCCTCCCCCTCCCCCTCGCGTCTCTTCCCTCCTTTCCGATTCGCAAACCGCTCGCACTTTCCCGAGGGGAGCGCGGGCGCCAGTTGCCTCCTTTTAAAGTTTGAGGGGCGGTGGCGGCAGGGGGGGCGGCGGCGGGGGGGGGAGAGGGGGGGC